TTTGTTTACTATTGTGTAACTGACGGTGTACAAAGCATTAATCTAATCAAAGAGATGCAATGGGCTTTTCTTGGCATTTATTTCTCTTACTAATACATATTTTTGTCTGTCACACATTTTAAGTTTATTTATTTAAATGAATGCCTGTACATGTGTGCCAGTGGAAGGTGTTATTTATTTGAGGCACTATTTACCGGGTACAAGAGAACATGAGGTACAACGGAACCCACTATAAGAGTTTTTATTAGGGGAGGGAAAAGAGGGATTGTGCAGTAGACCTACTAGAAATGAATGGTGAGGAAAGAGTGGGGAACGGGTAGAACCCGTTTATAGGTGTCTCTCCCCCCGCAAGCATTTGCATATGGGTTTTTAGATTACCTGATCACACTGCATGCAGATTACGTGATCACCCAGCACACAGATGTAGAAGGTAAGGCCCTGTGGTGACTAAGCATTCTGCCTGACTGATGAACAGTGCATGTGCGGTCATGTAGCTGGGGGTTGGCTGGGAATTATAACAGAAGGCAGTAGAGGGTATAGGATACCCTGGAACTGGAGTTACAAGCACTTGTGAGCCCTATGATGTGAATAATGAAAACTGAACACTGATTCTCTATGAGAACAGTGAACACTCTTAACTGCTGAGCCATCTCTCCAGTTCCATTTGTCATGTATTTTTTATATATGTAAACAAGGTAATACTTTAACATAGACAACAGCTGACTTCCAGCTTTGCTAATCTACAATAAAATTACAAAAAGAAGTGACAAGACAGCGTAAAATAACTATTAGTTAGTCTCCTTGTCTTCAAATTTGTGATATATGCATCATTATATTGCCTCTGGCATCAATTACACCGGAAACAAAGTCATTAGAACAAATTAGCATTCTCCATAAGTTAGTGGTCTGTAAACTGTAGTCCCTGGGCCATATCTAGCATGGTGTTTTGTGTGCTTAGTGTGCTTAGAATGGCTTTTTAGTTGTGATTAGTTGGTATAAAGCAGCTAAATGTTACCAGTTTTTAAACAGTATATTGTTAATATTATAATTGATATTTAGTTGGATTTCCTCTGATTCTCCACTCTGATGCCCTTTTTTTTCTTTCTGGATCTCTTTATTTCCTTCTGTAATCGATTTACAAAGACCTTTTTGTTTTGTGTGACATTGGTGCAGTTCTACCTTGGAGAATGTTGTTTGTAATACACAACTGATGGAGATCTTCATTCTGGTGGAGAAGAAACATTTTTATTTTAAGATTTGTATTAATCGAACCTTTTAGAAGTGAGGTAGATTATCTTTTCCTTTTTTGTCAGTCATTTTGGTACATTTCAACAACTTTTCTCAGTCTTTCTACTGAATTTGATGTATCTGTTTATATTTATAAGTGAGAGTATAGATGAGGAATTGAGAGAGAGATGTTTTCTGGGACTAGGCAAATAATGTATCGTGACTTACCGGCATCTTCACATGCTTCTTGTCATGGCGGCAGCTGGCAATCTCTTTCCCACTCAGCCTTCCACTTCCCAGAATTCTCCTCTCTCCTTGTCCCACCTATACTTCCTGCCTGGCCACTGGCCAATCAATGTTTTATTTATACAGAATGATATCCATAGCAAATGTAAATGTGTGAAGTTGGGTGAGAGTGTGCTGCTGTTACAGTTCCAATGCCTGCACCCTCAACAACAGTAGTCATGGTCTTTTTACTAGCCAGTTAGCCATAGTCTTTCAAGCTCCATGTTTTAAAGTCTATGGGTTGCTGTGAGAAACTGGAGAACCACATGAGATGGTGAAGAAATTATTGAGGAGGCCTATACTTACTTATTCATAAGGGTGTGAGGCACTTTGGGGAGGGTATGTTCCTGCATGTGCCCAATCTGCACCATACAGTTTTAGCTGAAACTAAAGGATATTTTGAAAGTATATTAGCATAGGAGTCTGCCCTAGTAGAAACTCCTATTTCTTTTTTCGAGACAGGGTTTCTCTGTGTAGCTTTGCGCCTTTCCTGGAACTCGCTTTGGAGACCAGGCTGGCCTCGAACTCACAAAGATCCGCCTGGCTCTGCCTCCCGAGTGCTGGGATTAAAGGCGTGCGCCACCACCGCCCGGCTGAAACTCCTATTCTTTAACATTTAGTGCAAGGACTGATTTTAGGAACTCTTGATCTGTTAATGGATAGACACTCTTGGGTTTTCTCTAGAATACTGAAGGATTTCACAATGTAGTTAAAAGACTTTTTGCTGCTTTTAGTGGCTCTAAGTAATCTAAAGCACTGTTTGGCTTGAATTCCACTCCATTTAATTCTGTAAATGGCCCACTTTGAGGACCATGCTTGTGATTATCTTGTGGCCAACTACAAAGGCATTGACAACGATATATCTGGGAGAGTTGTTGGTTTTTTGTTTCTGTTTTTGTTTTGTGTGTGTGTGTATGTGTGTGACTGATTTTAATAATGCATTCCTTATAGCTGTTTTTGTTTTGTTTTTCCTTTCATTTAGGAGTTTTGGAGATCTGGAAAATTAATTTATTGAAAGTTCTCTGTCAACATCTTCTATTAATACTTCAACTGTAAAAAAAAAATGAAACACAATGCTCTGTGTATAGGGATGGGAGAGAAATAGAGATTGATGGATGGATGGATGGATGGATGGATGGATGGATGGATGGATGGATGGATGAATATTTCTTCCTAAGAATAGTTAAAGGGGTTGGAGAGATGGCTCAGCAGTTATGGGTATTTGTTGCTCTTTCAAAAGACCTAGGATTGAGTCCCCAGTATCCACATTGCAACTTAGAACTGTCTTTAACTCCAGCCCTGGGGTATCAGATGCCTTCCTCTGGACTTTATGGGTACACCATGCTCTAAATATTTTATGACAAAAGCACCTATGAGTGCTAGGGCTTACCTTGTCTAGTTCTTACCTTAGTGTTTTATTATTTAAGCAAAAGTGTTACTAACTTTTCATGGCTTCAAGGTGTTGTGTTTTGTTTTACTTTGTTTTTGAGAGACAAAAGCTTTATAGCTTTACTTTATAGCTCTTTTTGGAGTGGTTTTTCTCATTGTTGTTGTTTAAGAATTCATTAATATTTTATAATTTTATATAGTTCATCTTGTTTAGCCTTCCAATAATAGAGGTGGGTGCTGTGGGATGTTCTGTATGGCAAATGTGTTGCTGATTGGTCAATAAATAAAACACTGATTGGCCATTGGATAGGCAGGAACAAGGAGAATAAAGCTGGGAAGTGGAAGGCTGAGTCAGAGAGACAATGCCAGCTGCCACGATGAGAAACAGCATGTGAAGATGCCGGTAAGCCACGAGCCATGTGGCAAGGTATAGATTAATGGAAATGGATTAATTTAAGCTGTAAGAACAGTTAGCAAGAAGCCTGCCATCGCCATACAGTTTGTAACCAATATAAGTCTCTGTATTTACTTGGTTGGGTTTGAGCGGCTGTGGGATTGGCAGGCGATAGAGATTTGTCCTGACTGTGGGCCAGGCAGGAAAACTCAAGCTACAAATGGCGTCCAACGTGGTGGCAAGAGTTTCCACCTAAAACCTGAGTAAAAAGATTCTAAATCGGAGCTAAAAACAGCTTCCTAATTGTCTCTCTCAAATGAGCGGCAGCTGCTGGTTTGAGCTACTTGTGGGTTCCTAGCCTGTGCGTTCGACCTGCTGTATGACGGGAATGAGGCCTCTGCAAGTGGCACATTAAGCTGCGTGGTGGATTTAGGCTTTGCTAGTACAAAACAAAAAAAGAGGTTTCTGGGCTACATGCTGCTTGGATAAAAGCATAGACCCACGCTAGCTCCCAGAGCTGGTGGTAAACCACCGCCATGTTGGAAAGCTGAGGTGGGCAGAGCCAGCAGCCACAGCTGCTGCAGTTTAAAGCAATAGATTCACAATAAGACAGATTCAGATGTAATAGTTTACAATGTTTAAAATATACGTAGGCTTGAAAGAAACAAAAAAGTGATATATACAGTTATATAAACAAATACATAGTTTTAAAAAATAAAGTCTTTAAAGAGACAGTAAAATTAATATAAAAAATAAGCCACGTAAAAATGAATATTACACAGAGAATCTGGATTATGTTGTCTTTGGGATTTTTAACTGCAGAAAAACATTTGATCATAAAAGATGTTGAGTTAAACCAATATGTATATTTTAAAGGTACCTTGACTTCAAAATTTGGATATAAGGATATGTTGCTTTGGAAAAGAGTCTCTTTTGTTCCCACAGAAAGCCAAAGGCTATGGATTTATTCCAGATTAAGATACATCAGGTTTGACCAGCCAAGACCCCCTGAAAGGTCTCCGATGACACCATGGCCCAGATGATCCAACATCCAGAATGGTTTGAAGGCATCTGGCTCAGACAATACAGCCTCATGGACTATTCCATAATCCTAAAATTTTCTTTGTGTCCCCATAAGATACAGCGCCCCCCTCCAGCAGGAAGTAGTAAGAGAAGCTACGCCCAAATTCCCAAATTATAATTAATTTTACTTTGTTAAGGTTAAAACCTTCCTTTTTGAAAAAAAAAGGGGGGGGGGAAGTGCTGTGGGATGTTCTGTATGGCAAATGTGTTGCTGATTGGTCAATAAATAAAACACTGATTGGCCATTGGCTAGGCAGGAAGTATAGGCGGGACAAGGAGAATAAAGCTGGGAAGTGGAAGGCTGAGTCAGAGAGACACTGCCAGCTGCCACGATGAGAAACAGCATGTGAAGATGCTGGTAAGCCACGAACCATGTGGCAAGGTATAGAAATGGATTAATTTAAGCTGTAAGAACAGTTAGCAAGAAGCCTGCCATGGCCATACAGTTTGTAACCAATATAAGTCTCTGTATTTACTTGGTCGGGTTTGAGCGGCTGTGGGATTGGCAGGTGAGAGAGATTTGTCCTAACTGTGGGCCAGGCAGGAAAACTCAAGCTACAGGTGGGGATCTTTATCTTAAATTTATATTTGAATATGTCTTGATGTTTGTTTGCCTTTATAGGTTTTACATGAAACATTTCCTCAACACACATTCCTCATGAATGGTCTCATTCAAGGTGTAAAGGTAAGAAAAATTGTGTGAAATTATAATGAACCAAAACTAGGAATCCCTATTAAGTCAGAATAAAATTCAACACAGGCCGGGCGGTGGTGGCGCATGCCTTTAATCCCAGCACTCGGGAGGCAGAGCCAGGCGGATCTCTGTGAGTTCGAGGCCAGCCTGGGCTACCAAGTGAGTCCCAGGAAAGGCGCAAAGCTACACAGAGAAACCCTGTCTCGAAAAACCAAAAAAAAAAAAATCAACACAAATACTTGTAAGGCATAAAATAGTTTAACATTAAAAAGCCCAGTGAATACTCTAAATGACTTAGGTCATTTTTATCTATATATACATAACAATCTGCAAATGTTTAATTATTATATAAACCTTTAATTGCTCTGCCAGGCAACAGTTCTATTTAGCCCTTCAAGCTTGTATGATATTTGTGCATTATACTGTGTGTTAAACAACATAATTCAAATTAAAATTATACTTTATTAATTTAAGCAACATTAATTAATACATATAGAAAGAAAGAATTATAAGTAATAGAGGGATCATATTTTAAATCTAACCTTTGCTTCTGTTTGTTCTCTAGGGCCTGCTCTCTTTTCTGAGTGCTCCCCTCATAGGAGCTCTCTCAGATGTGTTGGGCAGGAAACCCTTTCTCCTTGGCACAGTCTTCTTTACCTGCTTCCCTATCCCATTGATGAGGATCAGCCCTTGGTGAGTTGCTGAACTCTTCACTGTCATACTGGTCTGTTTTGAGTCCTATGTAAATAAAAACAGGTTGACTACCACTCCTAATCCAAATATCCAAAATGTGAAATGATCTAAAATCCTAAACTTTTTGATCGCTGACATTTCACAAATCTGATTGATTCAAGTGTATACAAACTTTACCTTATAATGAACAAGTATAAAATAAAAATAATGAAAAAATATTTCAAATATTGAATAAAATGACTTTTAGACTATGTGTATTAGACTATGTGTATAAGGAGTATGTAGAATATGGATAATTTCCATGTTACGCTTGGGACCTATTCTTAGGATAGCTCATCATACATATGCCAAATTCAAAAAGGAAAAAAATCCAAAACATTTCAATCCCAATCATTTATGAACTCACCCTTTACTTTGATCTACAGAGCACTCTTTAACAATTTCAAAGTAAACTACTCGACTTAGTTGAAGAAATTCAAGGTGTCCCTAGAAGAAGCTGTAGATGCTGGGATGTCAGTTTTAGGAGGTCAGTGCTGAAGGTGCACTAACAGCTCCTGCCCTCACTACTGTGGCCTGGCTGACTTTGTGAATGTATTATTTTTGTCATCTCATTGCATTGTGGCACTGAATGAGCATTATTTATATAAGAATAGATAGGAGTCACTATTTGTATGTTCCATAAAAACCCTTAGCTTATTCTAAATCATGATATGAATTTGAATTTATTTTTCCTCTTCAGTATGATGAATCCAGGTAATTTAATTACCACAGAAGTGTTAGGATTTGCTCAAGCTTTTTTGTTTTCCTTTATTTTTAATTTTAATTTTTTATTTTTAGACCATGGGATAGTATCTTAGCCAGTATTCCTGATGCTCTGAGATGCTCTTGCTGTGTGAAAATACTTTCATATGATTATCAGGAATTCTTGTTAATATTTGTAAATTTGTTGGACACCATAATAATTTTATCTTCTACCAAGTAGTCAATTCTTTTAGAATACTAATGTATCATCATGTCTTTCTGATAAATTAGAGATTTTTTTTAAGTCCCCTTTGTTAGCTTAATATTTATTTAAATCCTGGACATTTGTTAGTTTTATTCTTATATATTCTATTCATTTGTTATAATACAAAATAGCCTTTTATCCTAATTGCTTGCTTTTCTAGGTATATTGATGTCATAATTTAATTAATATAAATAATTTTACCTTATTCCTTCTAGTTTTATGCTTTTTACTGCTTTTTAAAATCTTAACTAATGAATAGTGTTTAACTAAAGTTTTGATTGTGGGATTTTCTTTTATTTTGTAAAGACTTGTAATTTTTTTGTCATTAGGCCTCAAGGTAGCCTTTTCTTTCTTTCTTTCTTTTTTCATTTTTTTTATTTTTCTTTAAAATATAATACGAATGAGTACTTTGCCTTTATGTATGTCTACGCACCATGTTCGTGCCTGGTGCCTAAAGAGGGCAGAAGATGATGTTGGATCCCCTGGGATTGGAGTTACAGACAATTGTGAGCAGACATATGGTTACTGGGAATTAAGCCTGGTCCTGGAAAAGCAGCCAGTGTATCTCTTCAGCCCTTTATTTCTATTTTATTCAAGGGTTTTTGCTTTTACAATAAAGATTTATTGATTAGATATCAGAATTAGATATGAAATGTTTTTAGATGGCTTTTAGCATAGATGGGAGGGGGTCGTTTGTTTTGCTTTGTTTTCTTTTTTTGTCCCCTTAAGACAGTTACAATACCTGTGAGATGGCTCAGTGAGTGAAAACATTTGATGTCTAAGCGTGACGATTTGAGTTCAATCCCTGGAATCCATAGTGGAAGGAGAGAACCAAACTCTTTTCTGACCTGCACAGGACATGATGCCACATGCATGGCTGTACTCTCTCACACCATATATATAGAGAGATTCAATTAACAGTAATAGCTAAATTTAAAAAATTTTAAAGACTATTAACATGGTTAATTATATTACAGAATTACTTAGTTATTAAAGGAATTACTTAGTAATTTTTTAATATTAAGATATCTTTACATCATAGATAAACTCCACTTTGTGTTCTGTAATATTCTGGCTTTTGCTATTTGTGGATGTTTTTCAATATATTTATGCATATTATAGAAATTTTTGGTTTGAATTATATTAACATTTTTTGCTATACTCTGTTTTTATATAGATTCTTAAAAAAGAAATTTGAAACATTATTGTATTTCCTACCTTTAAAACTACAGCTATACTTAAAACTATTACTTTTATTTAATCTCTTCCCTTTTTTTTCTCTTCTGCCATTTTTTTTTTAGGTCAACATGTACTCCTTTCAGTATTGACAAAACTCCAGTTAATTTTATATTTATCTTTAAATATATATAGATACCTGAGTTTATTTTCATTAGTTTATAATATCCACATGATATCTTTGACTTTATTTTAATTGCTCAAGAGTTTTATAATCAATCTTTCAGTTAGTAGAAAATGATGTTCTTAAACATTTTTTTTAAACAATCTTTTTATAGGTGGTATTTTGGCATGATTTCTGTATCTGGAGTCTTCTCAGTCACTTTCTCTGTAATATTTGCCTATGTAGCTGACTTCACTCAAGAGCACGAAAGAAGTACTGCTTATGGATGGGTAAGATGGTAAACTCTTTGTTTGATTGTTTTGAAACAAAAACTTACCTAGGCCAAGTTGACTTCAAACTTAGAATCTTCCTTTCATAGTCCTTGAGGACTGGGGTTATATTATTGTATTGGCTAGTAATTTATTGTATTGTGTAGCAATTTACCTGTCTTAGAAATTTTTGTTATTTTGTGATAGGACAGGCTAGGCTCAAACTCAGTATCTGAGGATCACCTTGAACTCCAGTTCTCCTACCTCCACTTCCAGAGTGCTAGGATTATAGGCATGCATCATCATGCCCAGCTTGTAGACTTTATAAAAACTAGAGTAATAAATAGCAATCTATTAAAAATTGACAAGAAATTGATGTTTAAAATAACATCAGAAATAGATTTGAGACATATGCGAATCTCAACAATGTGCCTCAGGCACTCATTTGAAACATAACACTATAGAAAACAAAAGGCTATTCATTTGGCAAATGGTTGTTGAATAAATATCAAAAGTTTTAAGAGACATTTTTTTTTGATAATTTAACATTAGACAATCTCATTTACTCAGTCATGGTAATGATATTGTAGTTGTATAGGAGAAGAAAGAACTATTAGAAGATGGCAGCAGAAGCATTTTGGGCCAGAAGGGCAGAAGATCACATCTTTGCAAGTTAACTTTTCTTTCTTTTTGTTTTCATTTTTTATTTTTTTAAGACAAGGTTTTACCATGTATCCCTGGCTGGCCAGGCTGGCCTCAAACTCAGAGATCTGCCTTCTGCAAGGTGCTTTCAAATGGTTTAGAAATAAGATAGCATGTACTCACATTGATGAGCAATTGTAGACACATGTTTAGCATCTGGGATATATGTGTACTTTGTAAGAAGAAAAGTGATCTGGCTAGACAGTGGAGAGTAGTAGATTAAAGGAAGATAAATGCCAGAAACCCAGGTAATTATTTTCTTTCTTGTACCATTTTCTTATAATACTGATTCTTAGAATAGAGTTACGTACTCATTCCTGTTGGCTGATTAAATGAGTACATTCAGTGATCAGTTTTATTTAAGTTACTACTATTCCACAAAACACTTTAGTTTGTTGACTTCAGATACCAATGATTAGAAAACTTCTCTTTCCCCTCTGACTACTGCCTGCTCACTCTCTCCCTTCCTATCTCCTGTGAATATTATTCATACTTCATCCTAAATTGAAGGCACTTGTGTAATACTGTAGCTAGAGTTTTCCTGCCTGGCCCACAGTCAGGACAAATCTCTCTCACCTGCCAGTCCCACAGCCGCTCAGACCCGACCAAGTAAACAAGGAGACTTATATTGGTTTCAAACTGTATGGCCGTGGCAGGCTTCTTGTTAACTGTTCCTACAGCTTAAATTAATCCATTTCTATAAATCTATACCTTGCCACATGGCTCATGGCTTACCGGCATCTTCACATGCTGTTTCTCATCGTGGCGGCTGGCAGTGTCTCTCTGACTCAGCCTTCCACTTCCCAGCTTTATTCTCCTCCTTGTCCCGCCTATACTTCCTGCCTGGCCACTGGACAATCAGTGATTTATTTATTGACCAATCAGCAACACACTGAACATACAGACCATCCCACAGCATAATACTGTGCAGGATAGAGGAAAAAGTGAATAAGAAGGCTTCGAAGAAGGAAAAATATTCAAGGTGGGCTGTAAGTGTCAGCCATCAGAGCTGTGAAACACCAAGATCCTATACCTTATAGTAGTGCAGCTTTCTACTCCACATTCTCCATCATGGGAAATGTCTGTGGACATACATACTAATTTCCCCATAGTGTTATTAGACTATAAAAATGTTAGTGGATACATGAGAACATAAAACTTGAACATATTAATAGAAGATTGCTCATGTAAGGTTTCGATGTATATACATCATATAATGTCTGACCAACTAGACATTTTGTTTCCTTAAAAGTTTAAACATTTTTCCCTTTCTTGGCATTTACTTACTTACTGTGTGTGTGTGTGTGTGTGTGTGTGTGTTCAAGTGCCATAGCATGCATGTCGCAGTCAGAGAACAATTTTCAGAAGTCACTACTCTTCTGTCATGTCCTAGGAATCAAACTCTGGTTACCAGGCCTGTGCAGCAAGTACTCTTAGCTGCTGAGCCATCTTGTCAGCCCTGTTTATCTTTTCCTTATGGGGGAATTTTTCAAAGCTGTTTATTTTTTGCTTTCAGTGGAAAAGTAATTTTGTGCTAATTATGAAAAAGGTTTTGATAGTCACCAAAAGTGACTGTCATGTAATTACTTAATCACCAGCTCAGTTTCTCGTTGTTGATGGCAGTTAGGATTAGTGCTTACTCATTGGATATGGCAAGAAGCCAGTGAGTGAACATCTCAGCTAATACAGTGTCATTCTAAAATGTGATCTCTTTAGTTTCTACAGCTCAGAAGTAGGCTACTGGGTTTGTCTCAGGCCTAAGACTTTGCCACTAACTCCCTTACAGCCTATCTAGCTTGCAGAGAATTTCCTGCCGATTATTTTCAAGATGTGTTAAATAAATTCTAAAGGGTACTTTTCATATCCAGTTTAGATTAAAATATGCATTCCTTTCTGAAACTCCTTTAGGAAACCAAGAAAGAGGTTCTTTAAGGGTCATAGCAATGAGTTATACTATTGGTAAGTTACTCCTCACTGCATCTGGTAAATCAATCTGTGGTAAGACTTTACCACAACAGTCTTAATGATTGTTGTTAACTGTGGGTTTAGATAATTTTAAACAAAAACTGCAAAAGTATTGTCCTTGTGAACCATAAAGTAGCCTACTTAGCAGTATTCTCAGGTGCTGAGATCTGTGACCTCATAAAAACCTAAGTAACATTGTTTCCTTGATACTTTAGGATGCTACCCTAGTTAGTGCTCACATAGCAACTAAAAAGAGTATAGCACTGTTCCCAAAGCTGTTTGCATGTCTTTGCAATTTGTGATGCAGTTATGTGGCTGCCTGGACTTTTTCAAATAAAGTGGTAAGATCTCTGTCATCATCACATACTTGATATATACTGAGTTTCAGAAATTTTTATTTCCTAAATTAAAATTCTCCATATCGCCGGGCGGTGGTGGCGCACGCCTTTAATCCCAGCACTCGGGAGGCAGAGGCAGGCAGATCTCTGTGAGTTCGAGGCCAGCCTGGTCTACAAAGCGAGTTCCAGGAAAGGCGCAAAGCTACACAGAGAAACCCTGTCTCGAAAAAAACCAAAAAAAAAAAAAAAAAAAAAAAAAAAATTCTCCATATCTTTATATCCTACTCCAGAAGTCTTTTTTCTATTGTTTTTGGCTTTTAAAGCTTTTTAATGTAGCATTAGTTTTATATGTATTATATTTTTATATTCAATTGTGGGATAATAGATGATACAAAAATGTCATTGGCTTACTGGGAATCATAGTCAGATACAATGATTTCTAGTGTTTCATTTTAAATAACACTTACTCTTAAAATTTCATACATGTATATAATATATCTTGATCATATCCATCCCACACTCTCCCAGAACCCCCCATCACATCTTCCAATTTCATGTTCTCTTTATAATGTTTTTTTTCTTAACTCACTGAGTCCTTACGTGATTTATTTTGTTTCTAATAGAATCTTCTAGTTTTAATATCTTATTGGTATGTTTTTGGTACTCTAATCTGCTTATAATTTAGAGAATGAATATCTACATTGTATTTCTAAATGGAGAACATAGGGGTGCAGTGTAATAAGGCTCACCAGCTGTGGCCTCTAACCAGCAAGCTTCAACCTCTCCACAAATCTTTTTTTTTTTTTTCTTTTGTGTGGGTGTTAGTATGAGTGGTTCTAATGATCACACCCCGGGTCTTGCATATGCTAGCCAAACATTCTATCACTTAGCTATATATCCCCAGCCTTTTTTATTTTTACTAGTGTATTTATTTTGGTTACAGCTTTTTCTCTTAAAATCAGCTACATCCCTTCACCTACTGTAATAATGAAATGGTCATAAAGAGATAAATGGGTATGTGAGAAAATATAGTGTTTTTGGATGAATCAGGTACAGTACCTGAGAAATTTATAGATTTCATCATTAGCTCTTCCGAAAAAATTTTTTTTTTTGAGACAGTCTTATTATGTAACCTAGAACTGGCCTTCCTAAGTACTGTAATTACAGGCGTGAACTACCATGCCTCATGTTAGGCAAGCGCCATGCCACTGAGCCCTGCTGGAATTGTTTTCATAACCTTCTTTGCACATCTCTGTTTTCCAATTAAACAGACAAAACCAGTGAATGTTTTATGAGGAAAGCTTCTACAGTGTTAATTTATATCATATTTTAATTAAAGCTCCCCAGAATATCTCTACTTTGTTAACAGTGGGTGAATATGTTTTTAAGCAAACTTACTTTCCTTTTTCTCTTTTTTTTTTTTAGTCTTTTGAGACAGGGTTTCTCTGTGTAGTTTTGGTGCCTGTCCTGGATCTTGCTCTGTAGACCAGGCTGGCCTTGAACTCAAAGAGATCTGGCTGGCTCTGCCTCCCAAGTGCTGGGGTTAAAGACATGCACCACCACCACCTGGCCCTCTTTTATTCTTAAAATTTGTATGCAACACATTTGTCTTGCTGAATCTAAGAGAGGGAGCGATGGCTTAGCAGTTAAGAGCAATTGTTTTTTTAGAGGACTGCTCATAACCATCCATATCTCCAGTTCCTCTTCGGACCCCTGTGGGTACCAGGCATTCACTCAAGCAAAATACTCATAAAGTAAATCATGGAGGGGGGGATATCTAGCTGTATACCTGCAGCAAATGGGACTCTGGGAAAGAGCTTGTTCTCTCCACTGATGTTCATATTTAGGATCTTAAATGACTGTGCTTTTTCCCATAGGTCTCAGCCACCTTTGCAGCTAGTCTGGTTAGCAGCCCAGCCATTGGAACATACCTCTCTGCAAATTATGGAGACAGCCTTGTTGTGCTGGTAGCCACAGTGGTGGCTCTCCTAGACATCTGCTTCATTTTGGTGGCAGTTCCAGAATCTCTACCAGACAAAATTAGACCTGCTTCCTGGGGAGCTCAGATTTCTTGGAAACAAGCAGATCCTTTTGCGGTAAATTAAGACATGAAAATACTTACTTCCTGTGTGTGTGTGTGTGTGTGTGTGTGTGTGTGTGTGTGTGTGTGTGTGTATAAAACTTTAATTACAAGTAAGAGGCTGAGAGACTGAGGTATATAATTAAGCTGTGTAAATCATAAGAGACAAAATATTATCCTCAAGGACATGGTTGTTTTTATTATTTAATAAAATGAATGAAGATAGTTGGAGAGGGAGGTAGTAGGAAGTATACCACACTAACAAGAAATAGTGCTAGAAAAGATTTTCTACCTCTCTCTCTCTCCCTGCCACACCTACTTCTATAGAACAATTGTAAACCACATTGTGTGAGCTTGTGTAGGCCAGGGGTAGATGTCTGATGTCTTCCTCTATCACAGTTGGTTTTATTTTTTTGAGTCAGGGTTTCTATTGAACTTGGAGCTCATCAATCTAGCAAGACTACCTGGCCTGCAAACCAAGGATCTTTGCCTTCCCAGTGCTAGGGTTATAGGCATGCACCATAATGCCTAGCTTTTTATGTGGGTGCTGAAAATCAAACTTGACTCCTTATACTCCTTATACTTGTACAGCAGGCACTTTACCAACTGAACCATTTCCCTAATCCCTTGAAATTATTTTCTGAAATGATCACTCAGAGTACTTTCTTTTGATCTTGCCTGTTCCTCTTGTGTGTTAGTTATATTGTTAGATGGTGAGAGAGGGGTTTGGGGAAGGAAGCAGGAATGGGCTAGAGAACCTGCAAGTTGAATTTTTTTTTTTTTTTTTTTTTTTTTTGCCTTGTAATGATCAAGTTGCATGTAGAAACTTCTGTAAAATAGAACTACTGTAGCTTATTTTTCAGGGCAGCTGTGAGGACCCCAGTTAACATGTATAAGTTAACTGGTCTAATGTCTGGTGTAGTAAAGTTTCAGTAGACGTTAGTTGTTTTGGGCATTGATTATAGAAAGTTTATAGATGGTGACCTTGTTGCTGTGACACTTGTCACTCCTGTTCAAATAAAAGTTTTAGACATACCAATTGTCCTCCTGGTTTTGGGCAACTTGACTATCTACAGTTTGAAGAATACAGTGAGTTTATGTATGATGAAAACTATGAGAGAGGCAGAAAAGAAGATCAGAATATCAAGTTCATCTTGAGCTGCATATCAACTTTGAAGCCAGCCTTAGCTACATGAGACCTTATGTCAGAAAAAAAGAAAACCATGTAATTAAAATCACTTAAAAGAAGTTACTTTACAAATCCAGAGAAAGAATTGATTTTTCTTAGAGAGTTGTGTAGAAATTTTTTTTCAGGGCCTGTTTATAGGATGTTCAGGATCTCTTGAAGGAGATACATGAACACTGACATTTGTGTTTTTGCTTTCTGCTTAATCCCAGTCATTAAAGAAAGTTGGAAAAGATTCTACAGTTTTACTCATCTGCATCACAGTGTTTCTCTCATACCTTCCTGAAGCTGGACAGTATTCGAGCTTTTTTCTCTATCTCAGGCAGGTGAGTAGTAGGTCCCTAGTAGCCTTTTAACATGTAGATTATCAAAGACTGGATTTGTCTAAGATAGGTTGGAGAAACCACTGTAGAAAAGGAAATATGACCTTGTTTCTAGAGACTTCACAAAGTAAGAACCTGTAATCCAATGATGACTTCAGTGATGGCCTCATAAGTAACTGGAACTACAGGTATGTCTAACCATGCCTAGCTTCTTGCTGAGGCAGGGGTGTTCCTTATATCCAGGATTTAAGAACATAGTAAGACATCTACTGTGGAAAAGTTCCTATAAAGAGAGAATTTATTGGAAACAAAATTCTGAGGCTTTTGAGTTTGTATACCTGGTTAGTTGGCCTACAATTTACTGTGTAGACCAGGCTAACCTTAAACTCACAGAAATCTACCTATCTTTGTCTCCTGAGTGCTGGGATTGAAGTCATCCACCACCAAGTCTGGCTCTGAGACCCTTGTCTAAAATAGGATTTAGATTGAACCAAATTAAGAGAAGATAAAGAGCTGTCATATCTTGTAGCTAGAGTTTTCCTGCCTGGCCCACAGTCAGGACAAATCTCTCTCACCTGCCAGTCCCACAGCCGCTCAGACCTGACCAAGTAAACACAGAGACTTATATTGGTTACAAACTGTATGGCCGTGGCAGGCTTCTTGCTAACTGTTCTTACTGCTTAAATTAATCCATTTCTATTAATCTATACCTTGCCACGTGGCTCGTGGCTTACCGGCATCTTCACATGCTGTTTCTCATCATGGCGACTGGCAGTGTCTCTGACTCAGCCTTCCACTTCCCAGCTTTATTCTCCTCCTTGTCCCGCCCACAATTCCTCCTGCATCACTACTGGCCAATCAGTGTTTTATTTACCAACCAATCAGAGCAACACATTTGCCACACAGAACATCCCACAGCAATATCTCTTCCCCATAGGTACACAACTGGTACCAAAATGGTTCATTTGGTACGGTTCATGAGCCTATATACTTTTATACATAAGTACCACTCAGTCTATAGTTTATGATAAGTTCACTCTTGGTATTGCTTCCATGTTTTAGCAGTTATGCATAAAGCTAATAATAGGCTGCCTTCACCTTCCTAAGTGCTGAAATTATAGGCATAAGCTACCCTACCAGTTCCAGATTTTGTAATTGAATATGATTAGGTAGTAATAGAAGAGCCAGAGGTTCTAGCTCTAGTATTTTTATTATTTAATTGTGATTGGGAGGAAGATACTCATTTATGAAATAAGAAGAATCTATAAAGTTATTTTTAGTGTATTTTCCTGTATTTTATAGAATTTCAGTAGAAGACAAAGTAATGTATCCTTTTAAAAGTTATTAGTCATTTCATAGTTACTGTTACAATTAGATGTTTAGAGGTCAATTGCCAGTCAGACTTGGCTGCTTACATAGTAGAAGTATATGGGAGCATTTATGGCACACCCGTCTCTGGACCATACCTCAGAGTCCAATATAATTGGTCTTCGGGGGGTTCTGGCATCCTATTGTTCTCTTTTCTCCCCTTCTTTCCTTTCCTCTGTTGCTCACATAATTTTAAAATGCAACCAGACTCAAGAGCTACTAACTTCACTAATAACTTCATTTCTACCTTGGCAATATTAAAAGTCTAATTGCTTTCTTTTACACTCTATATTGTATGCTCTCATTGTCGCCACACTGGGATAGACTAATTAAGAAAGGAAATACTAACAATAGGCATAATAAAATTTTCAAAAAATTCACAATTTGTGCTTACTTATAACTTTTATTTCAGATTTAAATATAAATTACAGGTTAATTATTTTCAGCTTCTGTCACTGCCCTAATTTCTACTGCTTTTTTGAACTTTCCTCAACTATTTTTTCCTGTCAGTTTTAATAGGAAAGAGAAATCATTTTTTATTAATTATATCTCTAATATCTCTATTATAAAAGTGATTTGTTTGTTTTTCATTTCTACAGGTCATAGGTTTTGGATCTGTGAAAATTGTAGCATTCATAGCTATGGTAGGAATTCTGTCCATTGTGGCTCAGGTGAGTGTTTTTTTACAACATGTGGCTTAAAATGACAAAGCTTTCCCCCACCCCCAATCCTGATAACCTCAGATCTATAGGAAGCTAAGGATACAAGTTTCAAAGAGTTTCTCCACACTGTTGGCTCAGCTGCTTAGCTCCTGCTGTGACATACCTTGCTCATGTAGAGAACCTCACCAAATTCAGGAAGCTGACAGGGACACAATTCACAGAACTGGTTGTACATAAAATATTAACATCCTCAGAGTTCAGAACTTCATACAGATTTCATTAAGATATTATTTGTAATTTGCACTGGATCCATTCTTCTTACTTACTTCCAAAACAACTGGGTTAAGGGGATGGTGAAATGATTTGGTAAAAGATGCTTGTTGCCAAGCAATAACCTGAGTTCAGTTCCTGGAACCTACATGGTAGAAGGAGAAAACTGACTCCTGCAAGTTTTCCTCTGACCTCCATGTACATGCTGGGACATGTGTACACACAGGTAGCAACAAATAGGTATAAAAACTATTTCACAGGAACAATAATCAGATACTGCATAATTAACCAGCAGAATGTGTTTCAGTGTTTCTTTAACGGTGAAAATTAATAGAAATAAATGTTTTCTAGATCCTTGTGTCTCCAGGACTAAACAAATAAGAATCCACAAATTAGAATATATATAGTGAGTGAATAGCCATAAATACTTTTCCACCTATTATGATTGTCAATCCAGAAAGGCAAGGGTATATGTCCTGCTGTGCTTCAGGGAGAGTCACTGTAGCTTATATGGATTGCCCAGAGGCTGTTCCTTGAAATGGCTATCTAGGCCAAGCTACATGTTCTCCTGTGATTAACTCTCTGCAGAGGAAATGAGAAGTCTGGGAAACAAACTGGTCCTACCAAATGAAAGAATGACAAGGCTCTTAGGAGTACATAGAAACAAAACCTGTTTCCTTGATGTTTTTGTTTTAGCTGTATTAGCAAGTGAAAATTATATTAAACTTCCAAGTTGATTATGATTTTCATTTGTTTTTTACATTAACCTTAGCTGTTTGCCTGTGTCTTTATCTTGCTTTCCATACTGTCCTTACAAGCTATATTTAACAGAATATATATTTATTAAAAATGAAGCTCATATCATTCTTGATTTTGTGAAATTGTTAACTATGAGTGAATAGTAAACCTTGCTGGACATTAAGTGCTTGTTGACTTTTCCCCAAAGAAAACTAAGTTATAATCCTCTCAGTCATGATAACTGGAGTGCAGCTATATTAACCTTTTGGGAGGTACTAGCAGAGGACCAGTTAGATAGGATTCTCTGGAAGGAGGTCAAAGGCCAGCACTGGAGCCCTTGAACTCCACCCCTGAAGAGTTACTACTACTGCCTGCCCTCGTGGGTTATAAACAGAGTGTGCCCTTAAAAGTCTTTGGCCATCAGTGAGTGGACTTCACTAAAAGAGTTTATGCTCTGAATTTGAATTTGTGATCAAATTCATATGTGCTTATATGGCTTCTCAAGGTTGTCTTCTTTCCTTTACAGACAGTTTTCCTTAGCAAATTGATGAGCTCACTAGGGAATAAGAATACTGTCCTCCTTGGCTTGGGTTTCCAGATGCTCCAACTTGCCTGGTATGGTTTTGGATCTCAGGCCTGGTAAGCCTCCCCTAATTCACATATTATCAAAACAAGCAAGCAAAACGCAGTGAATATTTACAGATGTGATGAGCCTTAAGGGATCTAAAGCTATTTGACTATGTTAAAAGAAGGGTTACTTCACTATTTGATGTATTCAGCATTTCACCCTTGGGCAGGAGTGAAGCTATAAGATTCGAGATGACTTGTAAAGATTTCACTAATTCTGGAGTCATTGCTTAATTGAATGTGTGTCATCTACCAGCCCTCCAATAAAGTTCTTGTGCACTCATGATTTCCCCCCTCTCCCACACACATTCTCCTCCTCTCCCTCCTTTCTCTCTTTGACGGTGGGTGGGTTTGTGTTTGTTTTTTGAAACAATCAAACATTGTAGCCCAGGCCGGCCTCAGACTTGTAGCAGTTCTTCTGCCTATGCCTGCTGAATGCTGGTATTATAGTTTTGAGCCACTATGTCTGGCTTTGTTTCTACTTTTTCTTTTAATTGTTTAGAATGTCATACATGTATATATGTTTTGATCAGATATATTACCCATTTCCCTCATTCTAGTTTTTCCCCTGTGCCCACCACCACTTCCGCTAACTTCATGTGATCTTTTGTTTTTAAACCCACTGTGTCCACTTGGTACTATTTGTGTATGCAGAGATATAGGACATCTACTGAAGCATGAGTAACCTCTCAGGGGCTGCATCCCTGAAGAAAACTAACCCCCACCACCACCCCTTTCCCCTAGAAGCCATCAGTTGTCATTAGCTCCTCTGATTGGGATGGGACTTCATGAGCCTCTCCTCCATTCATGCTGGTATTTTGGCTGACTGGATCTTGTGCAAGTCTTGCTGTGAGTTCATGTGTGCAACAGTGCTGTCACATCTTGCAAATCCTGCTTCACTGAACATGTCCACTACCTCTGGCTGTTAAAATCTTTTGACTTACCTTTTTTCAAATGATCCCTGAGCCCTGTGGGAGGAGGTGTGATATGGATGTCCTGTTTAGAGCTGTACTTCTGCTTCTTAAACACATTTATCCACTTTCAGGATATGACATATAATCAAAACAAAAGACACTGAATAGCAACAGATTACAGCATGCTTTGCTGGTATACTTAACTTAGGCAGTAATTATCATAAAATAAATCAGTTGATGAATACCAATATCTCCTCCAAAGTCATGTAAGTATCCTGCATCAATTTTCTTTTAAGTATTCATATTTTAGCTTCCTGTAAATGGGAAGAAAGGCCAAATTAAGGCCTATTGAAAAAAGGAAAACAAAGTCCTGAGTTCCATTTTCTTGTATGGCAGGTATTCTTAGGTACCTTATTGCCAAATACTGCAGAGTCTCAGTCTGCATTTTAGACATGAATTAGTCCTCATTTGCATTCATAAATGGAGCTTTTAGAAATGCTTTATTGGTTAGAGGTTAGTTGGGAAGCAGATAGTGAAATTCTGAATTTCATTTCATTTGAACCATTTGTTCTGTGTTACATTTTGCCTAAGATTAACTAGATTGATGATTCTATTATTCTATTATTTTTGTGTGTATGTGGCAGGGTGTCCTATGAACTCTGGTTCAGTATTTAGCTAGTCTAGTCAAAACACTTTAAGTGTTAAAAAGACTTTATGATGATAAAATGTTTGATTGTCAATAAAGACCACCCCCTCAGTGAGGCACAAGAGCCTTTGGACCTGCTTTAGCTCTCATACATTATCATGACTCACACATAAACCTTTTTTTTTCTCCACTGAGAAAAGGACAGAGGTCTGAAGCAAACAGTCTTTGTTTATTCATTTGGTAACAGACAGTGCTATCAAGCCTGACAGACCACACAGCCCAAGGGCAGTTGTGAAAGATCAATTTTCAAGAAATAGAGAGACAATGAGGAGGGCAGATAGAGATGTGGTGTTTATTTAAAAACAAAAGAATAGACATCCTTTTAAGAACTTGAGCCTATACTTGGAAATGACAATGGGGCAACCTGGGAGAAGAGATTTTTGAGGAAGTAAAATATTCTTTGATCTGCATCCCAGCCTCTGATCAGTATTTGTGGTGTGAATTCTTTCACACAGAGACTTACTTTGTAGCTCAGACTGGCCTTGAACTCTTACTGCTTCTGCCTACGCCTTTTGGATGCTGAGATTACTGGAATTACTGAGAAAGCTATGCCTTGTCCAGGAAATTCATTTTTAAAAGAGGGTAAAATAAATAAAATGAAACATGAGGAAATACAAAGCATTTGCACTGTTACCACTGACTATATTGATCAAAAGTACCTTAAAACCTTACTGCAGCCTTCGTTAATATTTTCAGGATGATGTGGGCAGCAGGAACTGTGGCTGCCATGTCCAGCATTACATTCCCAGCAGTCAGTGCCCTCATCTCTCGGAATGCAGAGTCAGATCAACAAGGTGAGATTTGGTACCTCTTACATTCTGTACCTTCAGCTGGAACCTCTCTTCCCTGAAATACGAAATCCTTCATTCTCCATAACAAGAGCAGTTGACTGCAGTGGGACCCTTTCACAGGAGCATACCTACTCATTTTGTCAAGAACAGAAGTTCTGTTTTCCTCTTTGCTCACACTCACATTTTAGCAATCCACACTCAGCCATTCTGGTTATTAGTAATAGTTAGAAATAGAAAAGATCCATTTCTAGTCTCAGTTCTGATTACATATGAATTATCCAGCTTATAATCTTATTTCAACAGATTTGTATTAAATAATAATAGCAAATTAGCAATGTAATATCCACATAGTCGCTAAAAGTTAACTTGAAATAATTCAGTCTCAGGAGCTTAATTTAAGAAATGGATCTTTGAAGAGATTAGGAAAACTCTGGTTGTTAGTAATTGGATATAGGGAGAGATGAAGTAAGTTAGAATTGCTGTGTAGAAAGCAAACTTTATTCTTCCTTCCTCTGCTGTTTCCTTTTCGGCCAGTTTTGATTTATTTTCTTCTTTAGCTCTCATACATTATCTCATACATACTATTGTCAGGAAGTAGGAGATTTTATCTCATTTATTGTTTTATATTTTTATTTCATTGTAAATATTCATTGTAATATTCATTTGTATTCAGGAAAATGGAGAATTTTAGAGGAGTGTGTGTGTTTGTGTAACAACACAAATGTACATAGTGGTTTGGTTTGGTGCCAGTAACAAACCCAAAATGCCTAGAATATACTAGGCTGCATCTCTTTCCCTAAAGGGAAATTTTTAAAAATTCTTAACAGGACTTTTAAAAATTTCAACAAAAATTAAATTTTAAAAGATAATTTATTCATTATCATTACACCTGTTTTCCCACATAATGAATTTGCTGTTATACATATCCATTCTTAGATTTATGGACTTCAGTGGCACCCTTTGTATTGTCACTATTAACTGCAGTAACTCAGCTGAGTATGAATACTATTATACTTTCCTGTTTTTTGCCTACAGAAGTATCTATTGAATTCATTTGGTTCAAACTCATGTTTTGCTTACTGTATTAGAAAGTTGAGGTATCTAGAATTTGGTGCTTCCAGAATTTTTGAATGGACATATGCATGAGATGGAAGGTTGCAGATGATAACTCAAGGCCAGGGGGAGCCTCTTCATATTCACATGTGGCCAAGGATGTCTGAATGGAGGACATATTTTTATTGTAAATGAACAACTAAATGAGCCCAGAAAGGAAGTCTTAATCAGTAGAAAAATTGAAAGTACCTAATAAGGAAATAATAATTTAATATTTTCTTATTTCCCATTAAATGGTAGATCTAGTACAAAAGGTTTTCAGAAACTGAATTTTTTTCTCCTTGTCCACCTTAGTACAGAGAGTACTATTAAATAGACATAGTGTAACCAAGCAAACATTTGTATAATAAATGAAAATATCATAATGAACTCTAATGACTATACTATGATGATGGCTCAGTCTAGCCAAATCTGTGTGTCATAATATGATGGAGAGTACTAGATAAGCTCCATATGTTGAGGCACTTTTCTGAGACAACTGACTCCCTTCTTGTTGTGGTTTAGGGGTTGCCCAGGGGATCATAACAGGAATACGAGGGCTATGCAATGGCCTAGGACCAGCACTGTATGGCTTCATATTCTACATGTTCCATGTTGAACTGAACGAGTTGGGCCCAGAATTGAATTCTAATGATGATCCCCTACAGGTAATTTGATGATCTGTGTTATAATAATGGTTCTGTTTGATTATAGCACAATCTTGTGGCTTTAGATTCCTATTTATTATCATTGCATTTGACAGCAGCAAATTCTGTGTTCATTGCTTGGAATCAGAAAGGGTTAAAATGTATCTGTACCTTATTTAGATTCTCTTTTCACCTGTATAGTCCCTATGAATAGTATGCTATTATGTGGCTAAGTTTAACCTAAATAAGATGTGAAATTACCTAAAAATCTAGCCAAAGGGACTTGGGATATAGCTCAGTTGGTAGGTGCTTGCCTAAAATGTACAAAACTCAAAAGTGTGATGGTGCATGCTTGTAATTCTAACAATCAGAAAGTAAAGTTCAGGGTCATTCTTAGCTATCTAAGTATGAGGCCAGCCTGAGATACAACAGACCCTGTCTTTAAAAAAAAAAAAAAAAAAACTTGCTCAAAATTAAGCTAATGTGCTTCCATTTTTTATAAAGAGAAACATTTAATATGGAGTTCTGTACGAACCTGAAATTACTAATATTCATATGTAGAAATGCATGATCTGAGGTCACAAGATAAGATTACAGAAAGAAAATTGCTGCTTCTGTAAGTTTATAGGCTATAGGTTCTATTAGTTAGAAATTATATAAAAAGCAGTGATTGGTTGCCCTGAGTTATTTTTCAAACACTAAACTCTGTTAGAATTTGTCTTGATTAATGAAATATAGACTTACTGAAAAACGATTAACTGTATGGTGGCATTAAAAAAAAAAAAACTAAAAACTAGCTTGGAGTTTAAAAAAAGAGCCTAACCATGCTGGATATAATAATGCATGCCTACGATCCTGGCATTTAAGAGATATTAGCAGAGGAGTTGTGATGTCAAGGCCACACTGGACTAAATAGCACAAGACTGTGTCTTTAAAAAGCAAAACAAACAAACAAACAAAAACTTAACCAAACTTCTGTCTTCATTTGTTTTTTTTATCCATCAGGGAGCTTTCATCCCAGGCCCGCCATTTTTGTTTGGAGCCTGTATAGTTCTTATGTCTTTTCTGGTTGCCTTATTCATCCCCGAATACCGTAAAACCAGTGGAGTTCAAAAACATAACAGCAGCATCAGTGGCAGCCCAAGCATCCTGCCTGAACGGGACAGTGATGAGGACATTGAGCCATTACTGCAAGACAGCAGCATCTGGGAGCTCTCCTTTGAAGAGCCTGGAAATCAGTGCACTGAACTATAACCCAGCAGTAAGGGAGGTTCTGCAGACACCATCTCTGAGAGCCATGGAGGAAGCTACACCACCTGGAGACTTCATGGTGCTGGCGGGGCAATGCTAGCAGCATCCTTTGGGCCAAGTTTCCTAAGTTACTCTTCTCATGCCTGTGCCCTTCACTCTCCTGCCTCTTCCTGTTTCTTTACTCCCATTCTTTTCCTTCCTGTTTATATATTCTAAGAAAGATTGAAAATGCTTCACTGAAAATAATATGAAACTCTCAAGGTTATCTGGAATTTAGATTTTAAAACTTTTAATAGAAAAATCATGTCTGATAGGAAAGGTTGTCTTTCCTTCAGTAACTAGAATAAGAGTGAAAGCAATTTTTCTGTGCCCTTTTTGGTAAAAGGTATGGGACGATAGTGTTAACTGCCTTCTTTCATTCTTTTTCTGTGAATTATTCCTCTTAGTCCATAGGTGTTGATGAGTGGCCATTCTTAAGGGTCACTTGGTATCAGGGATCTACTTTGTCCAAAGGTTAGATGAAAACCTATTTTTGCTTTCTCTTTATTTTCTTTACTTCTTAAGCTTCTTGAAATGAACCTTAGTAGTGTTGGTCAATGATCACCTTCATTAGATAAAGGAAATCTTTCTTAGAAAATTCAAATCATGTTGAACAAACAGCTCAGATTCTTGGTATATAAAGTAATTTTACAGAAGAAGAAGAAAAAAAAAATCAAGCCTGTAGCCCAGCTGCTTACAGATTTTAGAAGGAGGATTGCAAGTTTGAGGCTAGCTTTGGCAACATACTAAAATCCTACTCAAAGCAAAGCAGCCAACCATGAAGCATTCTAGTGGCAGCAAAGAAATCAGAGTATACTTCAAGAAAACTTTTTGCTGTTGTTTTGTTTTGTTTTAACAATTTGAACATTCCTAAAAGGGGTTGAGAGTAACAGATAGCAGTGGATGCCCCTTCCCATGTCTCCTATGTCCTACTTCTGTTTTCCTTGCTATACTCCTGCCTTAACTGTTAATATAGAATGTGTTCGTTTTCAGCTAATCTGTATCTCAGTTTGTTTTTCTGAATTTAGAATCTCATGGGAATGCGCTCATCAAATTCCTTTCAAAAATATAAGGATTAGTGAAGCTCAGTTTCATGATAAGTATCTTGCTAATTTTTGAGGTGTTTTATGGACAAAGAAAACTTTACAGATTTTATATTTTGCTGCACAGTAAATGGACCATTAACTAGGGTCTATCTTTAACAAAGCACTCCTTTGAAAGTTTTATAGGTATGAAAACATGTAGATATTTGTAAGGATTTTAATTTTTTGATGGGGGTGCTGTGTAAATCTTGTATTTATATAAATAATGAAGGTGTTGACAGAAAAATATATACAACTTTTATAAAGGATTGTGTACTGACTGAATACATTTAAAGGAAAATATATTTTGATGCCTGTTCTGCCATGAACAGATATAACATATCTTTTTACTATGCTGTTGGTTTTTAGGTTAAGCTTCCTAATGCATAATAAATTTTCAATGGATACTTACATGTCTTAAAAACAAGTCTGTCATTACTTTTTTGGGTTCTTTTTGAGTAGCTATCAACATAACTGAGTTAGTAATCCTTCAGCCAATTAAAAAAAAATGTTTGTAAAAAATGGTTTTAACAGTTCCTTGAAAACTACCCACCAAATGTAAATCATACATGAACAATGCTGCTATGGGTATAGAAGTATCTCTCCTATTCCTAATAGATAAAAGGCTGGAGAGAATGCTTGCTGCTCTTGCTGAGGAAAGAGTTAATTTCCCAGAATCTATCACTCACATCCAGCTCCAGGAAACCTGATGCCTTATGGGCTCTGCACTCACTTCCACAAATCCACACCCAGAAACTCCATACTGTTGTACAGTATACATTTATATGGCCTGCTAGACACCCTCCTATCACTACCATATATAAACTTCTTCATTATCAAGATCTTCTGGAGATGACTTCTACCCAAGGCCACTATACCAAATACACTGCTAGGTGTCAGGTTCTGCTGGATACTACCTGTCTTAGTCAGGGTTTCTATTGCTGAAATGAAACACCATGACCAAAAAGTAAGTTGGGGAAGAAAGGGTTTATTTGGCTTACACTGCCATATCACTGTTCATCATTGAAGGAAGTCAGGACAGGAACTCACACAGCAGGAACCTATCTGATGTAGAGGCCATGGAGGGGTGTTGCTTACTGGCTTGTTCCTCATGGCTTCTTACAGAGCCCAGTACCATCAACCCAGGGATGACAACCACCCATAATGGGCCAGGCCCTCCCCCATCAACCACTAATTAAGAAAATGCACTACAGGCTTGCCTACAGCCCCATCTTATAGAGGGATTTTCTTAATTAAGGTTCCCTCCTCTCAGATGACTAGCCTGTGTCAAGTTGACATAAAACCACCCAGCATTGACCTCTTATCCGCTTGACACACAAACATATTGCCATCACTGTTAAGCCACAACCTTTCCTTTTGCATTCATCTCCAAGATTTTACATTAAAAATATAAGTAACTTTAAAAATCCAAGTCCTTACAAATTTGAACACATTAATAATTCAGTAGCTTTAAAATAGCCAATCTCTTTTAAAACCTTGTGTCTTTTAAAATTCAGTCTCTCAACTGTGGGCTCCTGTAAAATCAAAAGTAAATAATTTCTTACTTCAAGAGAGAAGAACCAAGGCACAGTCACAATCAAAGCAAAGCCAAGCTCCAAAAGTGTTAATAGCACAATATTCCATGTGGGGTTCATGCATGATCTGGGCTCCTCCAAGGGGCTTGAGTCATTTCTCCACCTCTACCCTCTGCAGCACACACAGCTTGTCTTCTAAGCTCTAGCTGGCTCCACTCCACTGCTGCAGCTGTTCTTGATGGTCATCTCCAAAATAATGAGGTCTTCTGCTGCAACTGAGCGGCAGGAGTCCATCAGGGCCTGTTAGCTACCAATATATGTGGGGTATAGGCTAGGGAGCAATAGCCTGATACCTAGAAGCTTTTATGTACCAGAGATGGAATGCAGCAGAGGTTGATACCTCAAGTATACATAGAGTGGGAGGTGTAGCTAGAGTTTTCCTGCCTGGCCCACAGTCAGGACAAATCTCTGTCACCCACCAGTCCCACAGCCACTCAGACCCAACCAAGTAAACACAGAGACATATTGCTTACAAACTGTATGGCTGTGGCAGGCTTCTTGCTAACTGTTCTTATATCTTAAATTAATCCATTTCTATAAATCTATACCTTGCCACGTGGCTCATGGCTTACCGGCATCTTCACAGGCTGCTTGTCATGGCAGTGGCTGGCAGTGTCTCCCTCCGCCTTCCTGTTCTCTCAATTCTCCTCTCTGTTAGTCCCGCCTATACTTCCTGTGTGGTTACTGGCCAATCAGTATTTTATTTATTGACCAATCAGCAACACATTTGACATACAGACCATCCCACAGCAGGAAGGTGTCCTGCAAGGGCTGATAACTAGAAGTTTGTATGTGGTGATATTGTGTCCCCCAATATATTGTGTACCTTAATAAACTTACCTGGGGTCAGAGAACAGAACAGCCGCTAGATAGACATAGAGGCCAGAAAATGGTGACACACACACCTTTAATCCTAGCATTCTGGAGGCAGAGATCTATTCGGATCTCTGTGAGTTCAAAGCCCCACTGGAAACAGCCAGGTATGGCGACTCACGCCTTTAATCCCAGGAAGTGATGGCAGGAAGCAGAAAGGTACATAAGACGTGAAAACCAGGAACTAGGGTCTGTTAAGCTTTTAGGCTTTTGAGCAGCAGTTCAGCTGAGATCCATTCCGATGAGGACACAGAGGCTTCCAGTTTGAGGAAATGAGATCAGCTGAGGAATTGGCAAGGCGAGGTTAGCTGTGCCTGGTTCTGTTTCTCTGATCTTTCAGCATTCACCCCAATACCTGGCTCCAGGTTTTTTATTAATAAGACCTAACAATTTGTGCTACATTTGTATGTTCTGGATACCCTCTACTATTGCTGTCCTGCTTGATTTTATTCTATGTGGTTACCCCTCTTCTGGCACCCCATATAAATGTTTAAGTATTAAGCCTTACTGGGCAACTCACCACTGTAGCTGTACCACATACACTTTGGATATCAGACCTTATCAGACAACATTACACCCCCCTCTGCCAACTGAAATACACTACTAGTTATCAGGCCCTTGCTGGACACTGTCCTTTGGCAAAACCTCACATATACTAGATTCAGACCCTTCTGAATACTCCTACCTACCACATCATCACATATGCTACAAGGTAAGAGACCCTCTTGGCCACCACTCTACCATTGCAGCTCAAATATATTGCTAGGAATCAGGCTCTGCTGGATACTCTGAAGGCTCACATACAGTGCTGTTTCAAGTCCAAAAGGCTCCCCCTCCCCGAAAACACAGTGTCCCACATAAAGTCCTAAGTATCAGGCTTTACTAGACAACCTCACCCCATTGCTGCTAAGCATCTCTACTATTCACCAGAGCTTGTGTAGACATTCGTTACAACTCACCACCTACATTGCTAGATAACACTTTCCTACACCAAAATCCCCCCAAAGTGTTTTGTATTGGGCCCTGCTGAGCACCCCCAACCCCACCATCACTTCACATACTCCTGGGTATCAGGTCTAGCTGAATATATCCTGTTTGTCCCACATAAAGTATTAAGTATCAGATCATGCTAGACATGCTTCACCTATTGCTGACCAACATACACTGATAATTTAAAGTCCGTGCTAGATGCCTTCCTGTCACCATCTCTTATATGTTTGGGTATCAGGCCCAGCTAGATAGTAGTTATGGACCAGTAACTCATGTTATTTTGAACAAATAAAATTTGCCTGCAGATCAGAGGACAAAACAAGCCACTAGATTAAACATAGAAGCCAGGCAGTGGTGGCATACTGCTGTGGGATGGTCTGTATGTCAAATCTGTTGCTCTGATTGGTCAATAAATAAAACACTGATTGGCCAGTGGCCAGGTAGGAAGTATAGGTGGGACTAACAGAGAGAATTGAGAGAACAGGAAGCTGGGTGAGGGAGACACTGCCAGCCGCCACCAGGACAAGCAGCATGTGAAAACGCTGGTAAGCCACGAGCCACGTGGCAAGGTATAGATTTATAGAAATGGATTAATTTAAGTATAAGAACAGTTAGCAAGAAGCCTGCCATGGCCATACAGTTTGTAAGCAATATAAGTCTCTGTGTTTACTTGGTTGGGTCTGAGTGGCTGTGGGACTGGCAGTAGACAGAGATTTGTCCTGACTGTGGGCAAGGCAGGAAAACTCTAGCTACAGCATACACCTTTAATCCTAGCACTTGGGAGGCAGAGGAGAGATCCATCTGGATTTCTGTGAGTTCAAGGCCATACTGGGCTACCCAAGATTAATCCAGTCTAAAAGAGAAACAGAGCCAGGCATTGGTGACACACACCTTTATTTCCAACACTTGGGATCACACACCTTTAATCCCAGCACTAGGAAGGTTGAAACAGGAAGTGATATGGCTGGGCAGAGAAAGGAATATAAGGTGGGAGAAGATAGGAACTCTGGCTCTTTCAGGCTGAGGAGTTGGTGAGGTAAGAGGTGGTAGCTGTGGCTTGCTCTGATTCTCTGATCTTTCAGCTTTCACCCTGATATCTGGCTCCAGGTTTTTATTAAGATCAACTAGGACTTGTGCAACAAATTCACGTAAAATACTACGTAACATACTCTACAAGACATCTCACTGCTGCTGCTTCCAACCAACATACACTACTCTATATCAAGCCCTACTAGGTACCAACCAACACCCATTGCTCTCTGCTATGCTACTAAGGATCAGGGTATGCAAGGTTTCCATGGATGGGGGATGGGGTGGAGTTCAAGCATATCCTGAAAGATAACAGTGTATGTGAGATGGCAACCCAGAGGTAAGATGTCCAGCAGGGAATGATAATGTAGAAGCTTATATGTGGTAGTGCCAGGTAGTGTGTCTGGGGGGCAGGAGGGATTGTCTAGCTTGGCCTAATACCCAATACCTTATGCAGGAAGGATGGAACTGATAAATACTAGTATGTATGGGACATCAGAGGATGGGGTCTCTAGTAGAGCTTGATAACTAGCAGTGTATATGAACTGGCTGTAAAGGTAAGGTGTCCAGTGGTTTCTGATAGCTGTTGTTATATATGGGACAACAGCCTGGAAGGCTAGATAGAAATCCAGGTACCTAGAAGTGAAGCAGTGGCAGGAGTGTGTCCAGCATGCCTCTAAAACTAGACATATATGTGGAATGGTAAAGTGTGTGTGTGTGTGTGTGTGTGTGTGTGTGTGTGTGTGTGTGTGTGTGAGATGTCCAACAGAGCCATATCCCATATCCTTAGCACTTTATGTGGAGAAAGAGGAAGGGTCTAGCACAGTGGCTCTCAATCTTCCTAATCCCACAACTCTTTAATACAGTTCCTCATGTTTTGGTGACCCCTAACCATAAAATTATTTCACTGATGCTTCATAACTT